TCTAGGATAGCTTGCTCTGACCAGCCCGGAACCTCAGTTTGTAACTGGAGAAAAGGACCTGCTGTGGTACGATCAGGCTCACTCAAAAGTATGCATTATTGAGCATTATTAAGAAATCAAGGGCCGGGCGGTGGTGGCTCACGCCTTTAATCCCAGCACTCGGGAGGCAGAGGCAGGTGGATCTCTGTGAGTTCGAGGCCAGCCTGGACTGCCAAGTGAGTTCCAGGAAAGGCGCAAAGCTACACAGAGAAACCCTGTCTCCAAAAACAAAACAAAAAAAACAAAAAAAAAAAAAAACAAAAAAAAGAAATCAAGGGGTTGGAGAGAAATGATTCATGGGTTAAAAGCATGGGTTGCGCCGGGCAGTGGTGGCACACACCTTTAATCCCAGCACTCGGGAGGCAGAGCCAGGTGGATCTCTGTGAGTTTGAGGCCAGCCTGGGCTACAGAGTGAGTTCCAGGAAATGCTCCAAAACTACACAGAGAAACCCTGTCTCAAAAAACCAAAAAAAAAAAAAAAAAAAAAAAAGAAAAAAAGAATCAAACCAACTCTCTGTGGGAGGTAGCATTAGAGACACTATGCCCCTGTTGGTAGAAGAATAGCTTTGGAATTTGATTTGAAATTTCATCTTCAATCAGGGATAAATGAACTCACTGTGAGTGTAAATCACTGTCAGATTTCTTGGTCAACCATGTGGGAGGGAAAGCTACCCAGCTGTCCTTCTGAGAGACTGCTGTGCGCATGACCGTGTTTGAGTTAGCGGTTCTCAAATGGCTGAGTTCAAATTGGACATCTCCTTGTAGCATCTGCTGGAGATGGAGGGTCAACAGCAACTGGAAGCGTGTCAGACACAGTGGTCATTTCAGACTAGGATGTCATTAGGTGCCATAGGGTCATTGCGGGAGTGGGGGCAGAGAGATTGGAAGAGCCAGAGGAACAGAAAGTTTGGTGTGAGGTTGTGTCTTCTAGAAATATCAGAGAAGCTACACCCATGAAATCTAACCAACATGGCTTCTTAAACAACATGGCTTCCAGAACAAGGAACTGTGTTGTAGGTGTATCGTTGCAACCGGACACCACATCATCTCTTGTTTTCTGTGTTTTGATTAACTGTGGTTTTCTATAATGGTCTCTGTTGCAAAGAGAAGTTTCTCTGATGAGGGGTGAGAATTACACTTATCCGTGAGTATCCCTCCTTGTGTCCCATGGACCCGTGGTGCCTCAGCCCTAGCCTGGCCACATGTTGTGTCTCAGTTCTCTGCCTCCTGGGCCATCTTCCACACACAGGTCATGGAGATCCTTTGAGACTCACACCTCTTATCCCCTCATTTCTCTTGTTTTGTGGTCCAGAGATTTTTCTCTAGACAAGATGGGGAATCCTGAGGCCTCCTCTGATATGGGTGGTTTCCCTTCTGTTGGTTTACACAATAGTCTCCTTTGAGAAACTTGTTCTTAAGATGCTGAAGACAGGGCCCGCAGAAGTCTGAATGCCTCTGGATTCTCACCCTAGAAGCCGCCTGTTCCCATTCACTCCTGGGCATACTGCAGGTTTCTGCACTCACAGGGCCCCCTGGGGGCTTGGGCCTCTATTCTTTGAGTATCCCCCTTCTATGCTACAATTGTAGAAGACTTGTCTTCTTGCTTCTCCCTGGGAGATACTCAGCCTTAGGAGGTGTGTCAGATGGTGGTGTAGAATACTATTTTAAGGTGTGTTACTTTTGTTCATGTTGCATTTGTTTAATTCTGTGAAGCTGTGATACTGTGCCTGTGTAAACCACCTGATGGTCTAATAAAGAACTGAACAGCCAATAGCAAGCTGGAGGAAGGATAGGTGGAGCTAGCAGGCAGAGAGAATACATAGAAGGAGAAATCTGGGAGGAGAGCCTATTTGTAACCAGACACGGTCCTCCGTGATGTGATAGTTAGGCATTCATTCAGATAATATTTGTTGAGACTTGAAAGTCAGGCATGGTGTTAGATATGTAAAAATCAATAGTCTTTATTGTCTTGCTGTAGCTACTTACTGGAGAATGGTTCACAATGATTGTGTTTACAAATGGAACATTGCATGTGGAGTTCAGATGTGCAGCTCAGTGAGGACGCTAGGGGCCAGCCAACCAGCCATGGAGTAAGGTAAAAGTAAGATATACAGAAGTAAGAAAAGGAAAAAGTCCAGAGACAAAAGGTAGATGGGTTAAGGTAAGTTAAGGAAAACTGTCTAGAAACAAGCCAAGCTAAGGCCAGACATTTATAATTAAGAATAAGCCTCTGCATGTGATTTATTCAGGAGCTTGGTGGAGGGGACCCCCCAAAAGCATAAGCAATAACAAATGGTGTCTTTTGCTCATGGTTTGGAGCTTTCTCCAGTCTGAGTCTGGAGGTAGGTGGCCGGCTGACTTTCTGCTCTGTGCTCTCACTATTCCCTAGGTATCTTAGTCTCCTTTTCAGTTTCTGTGATACAATACCCAACGAAAGCAACTTGGGGGTCAAAGGGTTTATTTGGCTCACAATTCCATGTTACAGTCCATCATTGTGGGGAAACTGAGGCAGGAGTGACTTGAAGCAGCTGATCACATTACATCATTGGTCAAGAGCAGAGGGCAATGAAGGCATGCAGGCTAGTATTTTTTCTATGATTACACAGTCCAGAATCTCCCACCTAGGGAACGGTCTCACCCATGGTGGGAAGGTTTTCCCACCTCGGTTAATACAACCGAGATAGTCTTCCCCCCATCACCAACTTGATCTAGACAATATCTCATTGAGACGCCCTTGGAAGCTGATTCTAGAACTTTCCAAGTTGGTGATTAATAGTAGCCATCACACGGGGCATCTCTTGAAGGTCATCTTGGCCATACACATTTTTTACTTGCCTTCTTGCTTGCCACTGGTCCTAAGGGACTCATGGAGGAGAATCCCATCTCACCCATCTCTGTGGTCTCAGAACCAAGACACGCACAGGACCCTGACAGGCACTCAACACAAAATGAACACCACCATTCACCAGCAGTCTGCCAACAAGTATGGGTTGGAAAAGCCGACCCAGTCAAAGAGGTACAAGATGGGAAAGGGGGAGGTTGTTAGAGTTGTATTAGTTGATTTTTAATCACATATGCTGATGGTGAGCGTCGATTGTCAACTTGACGTAATCCAGAATCCCCTGGGAGATAAATGGGCTTCCTAGCATGCCTGTGAGGGACTATCTTGATCATGTGAAATAATATGGGAAGACCCGTTTTAACTGTCGGCAGAACCATTTCCTAGGCGGGGGATCCTATGCGGTATGAAGTGGAGAAAGGAGCTGAGCCCCAGCCAGCAAGCATGTATTCATCACTCTCTGCTTTTTGACCGTGGATAGTGTGACCAGCTTCTGCGGTCCCATCTTCTCCACCAGGATGGACTTGAACTGTGAGCGGAAATAACCCCCTCCCCCCTTACACTGTTTGTCGGGGTCTTTTATCACAACAATGGAGAAGGGAACTGAGAAAAGTATGTTCTGAGCAAAATTGGGATGTAATTAATGAAAGGCCTTGGATAGCTGGCATGTCCTTTAGAAAGCTGAGCTAACCCACATGGTGATACACTCTGGGCAGGGTTGATGGAGATGGTGTGGTCTCTTAGTGTGGGCGCACTGCACCGGGAGTACTGGCAGCTGTACTGGGGAACTATGGTTTGCCCTTCAGTCTCCGTGGACTCCATTCACACAATGCCCGTAGGATCCCCTTTTAGAGGTGACTAAGCTGGCCGTGTGCTGTGACACACACCTAAGAGCCAGGTGTGGCTGCACTGAGGCACTCTGTCCTGACTTCTGGCTCCATTGCTTTCTCCTTGCCTGACCTGTGGCTTCACCCAGAGGTGGTGTGTGTTTCCTGTAGGATGATGGGATGGAGAGAGGGGGGAAGGAAGGGGGTTTATGACCACATCACATTTGGAGTGCCAAGGAAAGTCACCACATGCTGCTTAGTCCTGAATTCTTGTTTTAGGCTGAGCTGGAATTCTCTCTGCTCCATCCTGTGGTTTTCAGCACAGTCACTGGCTCCCGAAGCCCCACTACTGGCCAATTCTAGAGCATTCCTATTGACTCTTTTAAAAACTCTTTTTGTTGCTAATGGTTTTGTTTTTTGAGGTTGGATCTCACTCATACTATAGTTCAGGCTGGCCTGGAATTTACTATGGAGCCTAAGTGGGCCACAAACAACTGTCATCCTCCTGCTTCAGCTTTCTGAGTGATGGGATAGCAGATGTGAGCCACCACATATGGTTGTTGTACTGTCTGTCTGTCTGTCTCTCTCTCTGTCTCTCTCTGTCTCTCTCTGTCTCTCTCTCTGTGTGTGTGTGTGTGTGTGTGTGTGTGTGTGTGTGTGTGTGTGTGTGTGTGTATGCCCATCAATGCATATGTAGAATCCAGAGGAGAAGATCCGATGTCTTCCTCCATCACTCTTCCCTCTGTTGCCCTGAGACAGGCTCACTGCTTTAGCTTGCCAGTGATCCCCTGGTACCTGCCTTTTCCACACGCCCAGTGTTGGGATTATACATACACACTGCCACGCTCACCTTATTTTTTAAGTGAGTGCTCAGGACTTGAACGCGGGTCCTCAGTTTGCACAGCAGATGATCTTACCCACTGAACCAGCTCCCTAGACCATCCATCTTGGGTTTTTGAGACAGGGTCTCTCTCCCTGGCCAGGATTGTAAACGCTTTGGCTAGACTGGCTGGATTTGGATTTGGATTACTCGCTGTAATCCCAGCACTGGGATTGCAGACACACACTATCATGCTCAGTTCATGCTCAGTTTTATTATGTGGGTTCTAGAGATCAACCTCAGGTCCTCGAGGTTGTCAGCAAGTTTTGCTAACTGAGTCATATCCCCCGCCCCCTCCCCCGAAAGTTTATTCTCAGTCCCTAAAAACATAAAGACCTTGACTTGTAAACGGGGCCCAGGTCATGATTTGCTTGCCTGATGTCTCTAATTAACTTCTAACGTTTTTGTTTTTCAGATTCCAATCATGAGAGACCCTGGGTGGATCCGAAACGTGTGGCCTTCCAACATTAACGTGAGTGCGATAAGGTGTTCTTGGGGTTTCATATGTCGAGATGAAATCTTGTCACGGTGCAGCTTTCTGCCGTGGGCAAACAGTCTTCAAAGAGGGAATCCCTTCCGTGGACGCTTCCAGAGTGCTCTCTGTGTTTCATAAGCTCTGCCCAGGCAGCTAACTGTTTACCTCATTTCCGATCTCTCCTCCTAGTCCACCACCCTCCAGACACAGATGGGATCTTACCAGCTCCCCAATTAAAAACCATCCAAGGCTCCTGACGTAGAGGGAGCAGGTCCACATTAGCACCCATGCCCCTGGTTGCCCACAACTGTCCCTGGCCGTGGTCAGAAATGTCTAATAAGAGCCTGGGTAGCTTCATCCGAGCCCCTCACAGCTTCCTCTCGGTCCTGCTGTGGATTCCTTCCTCCTTGCAGCTGGTCCAAGCCTTAGGTCCCATCCCTCCCTGTCGTCTCTAGGATTATACCCTGGCCTTGTTCTGTCTGACCCTGGAGCCTGTCTCTATGGATCTCCCCCAGACCCCAAATTCAAGAGCCTGATGCCCATCCTATTTTCTGACTCTCCTGCCCACTCAAGGCCTCTTGGACTTTCTCCTTATGTCGTGCTGTGAGCCTCTGCTCTGGGAAATGGTCCTGCTACCTCCCAAGTCTTTTTTCTTAGCACATAACCCCTTTGTCTTGGTGCTTAGTCTAAGATTCAATAGATCCTACAGCACATTACAGCCCATGGTTCTCAGGATTTGAGGTAGGGAGGCTCTTGGGGTAGTCCAAGGAAGAGTCAATTCCGAAGGCTTATTTGACTCTGCTGTGGCTTCTTCCTTACCTTGAGGTCATAAAATGAAAGCAGCATGTTGACTCTGACTTTGAAGAACTCAGGGGCTAGAGGGGCTCAGGAGAAAGGTGGAGCCTAAGGCTTGCAGAGGCCCTTGGAGGCCTAGCAAAGTGCCTGCCCGAGCAAGGAGTTTATTCTTGCGTTGATCTGGAGGCCCCAGTGGAGTGAGGAAGCCAGCTGAAAGGAGACAGAGCTCCAGGAACTCTGTGAGGGATGGAGTTCTATATCTAAGTTGTAGACGGGAATGGGCCCAGTGAGAGGCCAGGAAGTCTGAGGAGTGGGCAGTTAGTGGCAGTTGAGCCCAGAATGCAGAGCCAGTGTTCTGAGAGAAGGGGCAGGAAGTTTCTGGGTAAGCAGTGCCTCTTTCTGTGGGTGGCTGCGTAGGCTGCTGGTCACGGAAGTAGCCCGACGTTGCTTCCTGTGGCCAACTCCCTATTCTGCAGGCCCTGGGGTAGAAGTCATGGCTACCAGGTTTCCAGCTCACCTCTGGCCCCACATGCGGGCCAATGGTTATGGTTCACAGGAGAGTCAGGTGAGGGAAACAGCCCACGAGCCCCACCCTTCCCAGAACTAACTCATCGTAACAAATCAGGAGACAGTGAGCAGAAGATACCAATGGGGCATCCTACCTAATGGGTAAAATTGTAGAACATCATCATCACTCATGGCAGGGATGAAAATCCAAATGTGTGGCTGTTGCTCTGCCACGTGCAGTATGTGTGTGAGAGACACTGAGCGAGATGGCTAACAGAACAGTCATTCCTGTGTACAGTAGGTGCTTGCTCGATCCCACACGTTAGGGCTTGCTGTTTACCGCAAGCCTCTGCAGCAGGGGGGAGAGAGAGAGAGAGAGAGAGAGAGAGAGAGAGAGAGAGAGAGAGAGACAGAGAGAGAGACAGAGACAGAGAGAGAGAGAGAGACAGAGAGAGAGACAGAGAGACAGAGACAGAGAGAGAGAGACAGAGAGAGAGACAGAGAGAGAGAGACAGAGAGAGAGAGACAGAGAGAGAGAGACAGAGAGAGAGACAGAGACAGAGAGAGAGACAGAGAGAGAGACAGAGAGAGAGACAGAGAGAGAGAGACAGAGACAGAGAGAGACAGAGACAGAGAAAGGTGGTAACAGCTCGTCTAAGGTGGGTGGAGAAGGTTTAGGAGCAATTCTAGAGAAAAGCCTCCCACATGAGCTGAGTCTTCTGGGGAGCAATGGAAGAGCTCTAACAGTTGGCTGAGCATGAGGTAAGAAACAGCCCGGGGCCCCAGGGCTGGAGAGGGGAATCATTGGAGATACAGAGAGAAGGGGAGAAGGTGGCAGGAGCCCACATGGGTGACCAGGAGGACTTATCTCATCTTCTAGGGACCTCATTGACAATGAGGGACAGCAGGACAAAGTATTTATTTCGTCAATACTGGTGTGTGTACCTAAACCCTTCGTTTGCCTCCAAATCTGACTATATCTCTCTTTCAGTTGTGATTGTTAGTGGGTCAACTTAGGACCTAGGGTCACCTGAGAGTCTCAGTTAAAATTGTCTAGATGTCTGTGGGGCATTGTTTTGATGGCTAAATGTTAATTGATGCAGGAAGACCCAGTCCACTATGGGTGACATCATTCCCTAGTTAGGGGTCCTGGACTGTGTGAGAGTAGAGGAAGTGAGCTGAGTACTAAATATGCACACGTTCATTCTCTCTCTCTCTTTGCTCTTGATTGTGGGTGTGACTAGTTGCTTCAGGCTCCTGCCTTGACTGTTCCACGGTGATGGACTGTCACCTGAGACTGTAAGCCAAAGGGAACGCTTTCCCTTCTAGGCTGCTTTGGTCAGAGTGTTTTACAACAGTAACAAGACGTGAAACTAGGAAACAGGCGGAGATGCTCCTCCTGTTCCCAATAGTGACTTTTTTTTTAAGTTCTAAAAACTTGCACCGGCTAGTTTTATGTCAACTTGACACAAGCTGGAGTCATCAGAGAGGAGGGAGCCTCAGTTGAGAAAATGCCTCCATAAGATCAGGCTGCAGGCAAGCCTGTAGGATATTTTCTTAATTAGTGATTGATGGGGGAAGCCGAGCCCATGGTGGGCTGGTTGGTCCTGGGTTCTATAAGAAAGCAGATTGAGCAAACCATGGGGAGCAAGCCAGTAAGCGGCACCCCTCCATGGCCTCTGCATCAGCTCCTGCCTCCAGGTTCCTGTCCTGTTTGAGTTCCTGCCCTCACTGCTTTTGATGATGAGCTGTGATGTGGAAGTGTGTGTGAAATAGATCCTTCCCTCCCCAAGTTACTTTGGTCGTGGTGTTTCATCACAGCGATAGTCACCCTAAGAGACACTGCTTGAAGTAAAGGGAACACAGCACATGTCCTTCTGCTTTCTGCTCTGTGGCTTTCTCCTTGCCAGGCACTGGGAGTGGAGTCCTCTCAGATGTCTGGTGATAGGCGTGCACTCTTATCTGGAATCACACGGTGTGGCTCTCGATTGCTGTATTTCATTAATATCAGTTTGTGGGGATGCTGATTAGCGACAGGCACCAGCACAGTCAGTTATAACAATAACTTGTTTAGTTAGCGTCCTCACGCTGCACAGAACTTTCATTTTCTTCGGTGGCTTCTTGGGGTTTTCTAGGGATGCCTCGAGGCGCTGTCTCATTTGTTAACAGCCCCACTGAGGTGACAGCTCAGTTTGCTGTCTGTTTCTGTTTATAGCCCTCCACCTCACCCATCCCTTCTCCCACCCCAGGGAGCACCTTGCTCTGGGCTCTCATTGCCGTCTCTTGCCAGAGGCCTGGGGATCTGCTGGCTCTGAACTCCCTTGAGGGCAGAGCCATCTCCTGTTCACACACTTACTAATGGGCCTGGCAAGTTGCAAGCATCAGGATGGCCTCTAACCAGGGTGGTGACACCTTCCATACCACGGCAGGGCTCCTTCATTTATTTTTAGTGTGGTGAGCGTATTTTTCATTGTAGCTTTGTTTGTAGTTATGGAGAGCCTATTTGTAAGCAGGCGCGGTCTTCCATGATGGGATATTTAGGCATTCATTCAGATAATCTTTGTCGAGACCTGAAAGTCAGGCGTGGTGTTAGATGCGTGAAAATCAATAGTCTTTATCGTCTTGCTGTAGCCACCTACTAGAGAATGGTTCACAGTGATCGTGCTTACAAATGGAACGTTGCATGTGGAGTTCAGATGTGCGGCTCAGTGAGAGTCTCTAACAGATCCAGTGTAGTTTGCAGGGTGTGTGTGTGTGTGTGTGTGTGTGTGTGTGTGTGTGTGTGTGTGTGCAGGTCATGATGTTCAAAGTAAGGTTGAAGAAGGTGAAGAGGGAGAAAGCTCTTTGCCCAGGGTTGTTCTGAAAAGGGAACGCTCCATGACAGCCATGCTTTTGGTTTTGAATGAGGGAATTTATTAAGTATATAGCGAACAAAAGTAAAAGGACTGAAGGCGAGTAGCAGACAGACAGACAGAAGCGGCAGGCAGATGGCAAAACCTCATCTAATCAGGGGGCTTGTGACATCTAGCAGAGATGACTGGGGACAGGACGGCTTGTTGAAGTCACGCGGGATGTCCCGATTGGAGATTCCTGGGGAGAGCAGGGTGGTCTCTCTGTGGGTGGGCGTCCAGCTTCTGGTTCCCACTGCTGCAGGTGTTTGTATACCTCAGGATAAACACGGTGACCTTAGTTGGAAACGCTCTCCCTTCCAGCTGTTCTCAAGAGCGCAGCAGAGCTTTTGGACACCCTCAGCTCTTTGCTTGTCCCCTACTTCCCTGTTTCAGGACCAGGGCACCTGTCCCAGGACAGGGTGTCCTAGCGGACACTTGATATAAACATGCTCAAGTCGGAGACGAGGAGGGGAGCCTCCTCATCCCCAGGGTCTGCCTTCACCGAGCACTAACGTGGAACAATTTACTAGCACAGAGAAAGGCGTGACGGGGCGTGATGAGAAGGAATCTGGCGGGTGTGAGGAATGAAAATGACCCGAGAGGGCTTGAGCCTAGAGCTGGTGGGGAAGTGGTGAAGCCGAGAGGCAGTGGCGGCCTCTGCCTGGTGGTCAGACACTTGAGGAAGACGTGGAGTCCCATCTCTCTGAGCCACGTGTTCTTCTCATGGGGCGGCGTGGCCCTGGGGCTCCTGACTGCAGCAGAGTGGGAGCAGTGGCTGAGCTGGTTCACACGGTGCCACAGTAG